CGTGTTTTTATTTTATTTTAAATTATAATCGAGTTTCGTCGACTTTCACTTTTCTTGCTTGTTATGTTTTTTGTTTTATTTTTGGCTCGAGCTTTTTATTTTTTGGGGCATTTCACCTTTGTTAGCATTGCAGCTTCACCGCAGAACAAAATACAGTGCTTATTTTTTCGCTTAAAATTAAAAATATCAAAATACACTTAGCTGAAAAAAAATCTGATTTATAATGTGCCTGCTTGCAGGGATCGATGTTTGAAGTATCATAGACCAGCTGAGCTCTCTAACGCCACACCACTGAGGTGGCGCTGCTGCAGGCACTGCGCACACGCAGAAGCTTCGCCACATGCACATTCGGTGCCTGCGCAAGTGTAGTGCCCACACCCGGTGTTTTCAAACGCGGGTTTGTTTGTAAACAGTGTGTTCGTGTATACTTCGTTTCAGCGACGCAGAGAACGCTACGAGCTAATAAGACAAATCAAACAGCGCCAAAAGTGGACGTCACTGGGCCTTTTCTGTTTACGATTGGTTCAGGGATGATAGAACATGTACGCGAACATGACGAACACCATGACCCTGCGTTTTTGACACTGTTTGACTTGTCCCATCAGCTCGTAGCGTCGAGTGCGTCTGGACTTATTGATGAAACGAAGTATAACATTGAAAGGTTGAAGTTTCATAGACGTCGTGACAAGATGGCTCAAAAACGGTACAGTCTGTCTCGGTTGCGTTGCGTGTGCCCCGTTCGTACAGTAGTTACTTTCGGAAAGCCTCCCCTCAAAATAATTTCGAGAATGCCGGTGATATGAATGACAGAAGAGTACCTAGGAAAACTTAGGTTCACAATTTTTATTTATCAGGAAGCGTTCAGATATTGCACGATTGCAGAATGAGGCATGTTCGTTTCAGCAACGTAGTTTTTACAGCGACATTACAGACGCTAATGGGACACTTCGCAGTTTCGCTCCATAGCGACGCGGGTCATTTTCGGCACTCCGCCCAAACATTCCACGGGCCGCTGGTAACAAGATAACAAGCGAGCAATATACGATGCAGGGTCTTGCGTGGCAGCAAGATAACGTGCATGGTCAGTAAAATAGATTTCACCGGGAAGTCTGGCAGTGTACTGGGATAGGTGTCTATGTGACCCAGAATTAGCACAAACAACAATTTTCTGGAGATTCTCAGATAAAACTGCCTTCAAATATTACTATGAATTTTCTTTCAGAAATCAAGGGAAAAGGAAGTGCGTTAGTGGCACGTAAAGGCATCTGACAGATACAGATTTCTTTTTTTTTTTTTTAAATAGCCAGAAATATGGTACTAATAGCCTTTGTTTTTTTAAAGAAACCTTCAATTCGAGAAGGAATTTTGTCTTGTTTACTTCCTTGTCCCTATTTATTCGGCGCTTTTCGTTTAGCACATGTGACTATTAGTACCAAAGTGTGGTACGAAAACGCGCTCCCTTTTTACGCAGACAGCCGAAATGCTGTCAACTTCATACGCCCTCACTGCTTCCAAAATGCTAGGGAGTTTTCGTCCGGTGTGTTTCTTGGTTCAATACGAACCGGCTATGAAGACCCCTTGGCGCTTGCTTGCACCTTTACCGTTCATTCAGCCCAACAGCCCAGAAATGACACCATAGCCGCTCTCCGACGTCACACTCAAGCTGCCCCTGTGTTCCGCCTTATGGGTTGCGTAAGTGTTTCCCAATTTTCTTTGCGTTTTTCGCATTGACTTTTAGTTGATAACCGCTTTGTTTTTCTCGCCATTGCGTGCGTCTTGTCTGTATGCTTATGCAGCCGGAAGTTAGTCTGCCACGACGAACGACTTGTCTCTCAGCAGTAGACGAGTAATATAGCTAGTGAAGTACATTAGCTAGCATTGGTCTTTAACGTGCGCCACGCAGTAGTGATGCACAACCGCACGCTGGTGCGATGCTCATCCAGATCGAAAGAGGTAGGGATGGCGGATTCAACCCGTGATCCCTGGGTTCTGCATCGCGAGCCTTTGCTCCACGCGCTCCGAGCTGGGACCCTAATCCGAATACTTGGCATGAAAGTCGGTGAGAAATCCAGAGGCTATGATTGGCCGGCGCCATGGTCAAGGGTGGCGTTGACCAATCACGGCCGCCAGATTTCTAGCCGACTATTTCGCCAAGTGTCCATATTCTAGCGCACCTTGTGTGCGCTAGCCCACCCGGCCAGTCCACTCGGTTCCCTTTCTCTCGCTATTCTTGTCCCGTTCTCTGGCGCTTTTTTTTTTTTTTTTTTTTATAGCAATGAGCAACGTGCCTCGATACGCTGGTAAACTTTTGTACCCAAGTTCGAGTGATTTCAGTGCACAAACTACTACTTGTAGCCACCGCCACAAGGCAATAATAAAAAAAAGAATGAAAAAAGTGAAGAAGTTTTATACTGTAACATTTTCTGTGATAACGAAGGCGCTTCAACCGGTCACAATCAAGCCGCGGTGCCCCGGTTCTCGCTATGGTTGTCATGCGTTCTCCCAGGGGAGTGTAGAGGGACAAGAGTGGTGTGGTCCTTGGAGCATTATGCTATGGCATCCGAAAACTTTCCCATGCAAGACATACTAATGCAAAGGACGCGCACTCTTTTTTTTTTAAGTACTCTGAAGCTGGCAAACATCTGACATTCACAGCGCTTTGCGTGTAGCCTGTGCTGACCAGGCGGTACTTTTCCGCCGGGATACTCGCTTTCGTGGAGGAAGGACCTGTGAATATGAACACCCAAGGGGGGGGGGGGGGGGGTACTGAGGGCGAAAACGGTAAGAAATGAGCGAAATGCGATTGTCTGAACACTCTGTCAGCGCGTTATATTAAAAGGACGTCAAGTCAGATTAAACATTCATATATGTTTTTTTTTTTTTTGGTTTTTGAAGTGGCATTTGGACTGTCGGCTCTTTGCGCGCGAAACTCATCTGCTAATAGGTGAATGGGGCTAGAGCACAAAGATGCGCAACGTTATCAACGTTACTAAACCAGGCCGTTTTTTTTTAAGTTTTAACGCTAATTATAATAATCATTCAGCAAGAGAGCGTCGTATAATGGCACGCTTGAACAGTTAAAAAAGTGCTAGGTCATTAAAAATTGTTTTCATCTTTAGTATACCCAAAAGGCACGTTAAATGAATAGCATATATATGTCTTTTGTGGCATTATGGTGTCACGTGACGTTACGTCACATATTTTTGACTATCACGTGACGTCACACGTTCTTGTGAGAACGTGACGTGATGATATTTTGTTGTTGATATCACGGTGTCCCGTGACGACATGACGTTATGGTGTCACGCAACCACCGCAACGTCATCATGGTGTTCACGTGGTGACGTCACGGGAAACGTTTTGAAACGATGATGACGTCACGTGAGCGCCGCGACGTCATCAGCGTGACGTCACTATCGAGGCAACATGGCACTGTCACGAAAGTGCTACAAGTTGGTCCATGTGAACGCTATGCGTTTAAAAATGCAGGTTACGTAGATGAACTCACCGGGATAGCGTACCAATACCCGAGTATATTTTATATGCCGCCTTTGTCTAAGATTTTCTTCAACGGAGTTGTTTCCAGTTTCTGAATTTTAGAGTTTTCCAAGTTTTCCCGTGTTGCGATCGATATGGTTGGACTGTGGAGATCTCGATTTGGGCGGAATGGATTGATTTGCGTTGGCAATCGATACCTTCACCCTCGAGGGGCAAAATGATCTGGACATCGTATTCTCAACTCAACTTTTTTTTTTCCTGGCTCGAGTCATTGTAGGTAGAACAAAACTAAAACGATCGCATGCGACCCATTGATTTTGCGAGAAAGCTTCAATTGAAAATTTTAGTATAACCAAACTGTGCCTTTTACACACACACACACACACACACACACACACACACACACACACACACACACACACACACACACACACACACACACACACACGCACACACACACACACAAACACACACACACACACACACACACACGCATACGCACGCACGCACGCATACACACACACACACGCGCGCGCACGCACGCACACGCACACACACACACACGCACACACACACACACACATATATATATATTCTACGTAAAGTATTTATCTTGTTCATGAGATTTTTGTCGTGTGTTGTTAATAGGGTGTCTTCAAACCAGCAACTTAAATTCCTTCTAAGAAAGTCGCATAGTATATTATAAGTAGTCTCTAAATATGTACGAAAATACACCAAATAGGTATCGTCCTTACATTTAAATAAAGAAACGCAGATAAAAGAAGTTTATATACAAATAAAATATCGAATTATTTAATCTTGAACACGTGCTTTTTCAAGACAAGTCAGAGCAATCCCTCAGTTTTATGTAAATTTTTGCGATAATTGTTAAGGGAAATTAAGATAGGTAGGACTTATAAATTTCGCAAGATAGTTTATTTATACTTTACGCTTGTGCTACAGGGTAGCGTATCTTTTTACTCTGTTTTATTGGTGCTCTCAACGTGTAAGTGTAAACGCACACGACCTGTACAGCTAGGAACACAACTTTAGTTTCGTATATCTCATGGCATTTGACCATATGATGGCTGTGTTCATCGGATTGCAGGAAAATATTTGAGAACTCACAGGGAAGGAAATGAAAAATATTGTTTACGAAATAAGATTTGAACGACAAAGAAATACAAAAGCCTGTTAATTTTAATTTACAATAAAAAAAGCGGTGTTGAGATATTCATGTGATTACATTCGTCTTTTCTATATCACATTTATAGATATTGTGGTTTCGCGGACTTAATTATTAAGGTTCACGAGAAAAAAATACGTATTTAGACAATAATAATCACCGAAAACGGATATGGCGGTGCAAGCTACAACTAATGTTTGTAACCAAGGGTGGCCTGAAAATCCACGAACAAGAAAGGCTCGACTCACTAGCGTAACCAAAACACGGCCGCTTACCGCGACCTTCGAGTATTTCCGTTCCTTCTTCATTCACTCACCCGACAGATGAACGAAATCGCCGCTGTAGACTTGAGGCCGCTTTGCCACTTAGCAGAGCTGGTGTTTTCACTCGAGCTGTCAAAACGACGCCAAACGACCTCCCTGCGTCGGTTGTCTCTCCAAAGTCGTTGTATGTCTACGCATCGCCTACGTCTCGAACGATTCTGTGCTTGGCTCGGCAATCTTCTCGGCAGCTTCGGCAGCGAATTCGAGTGATGAGCTCGCAATGATTCTGGCTTCTCCCAAGACGCCGGCATGTTGTCAGCGTGTTTTTCGAGAGACAGTCTCGGGAGCGCGCATTGTACCAAGACTGCCTGTACTGCCGCAGTACGCTCGGAGCATCGAGAAAGGAGCAAAGACTTTCCATTTCAGATAAGTCAACTTTAGATTTGCACTAGCGGCTACTTTGAAGGTTGCCGTCGCTGACAGAGCCGGTGGATTTAGGATGCGCCGTTGTCTTTCTTATCGCGGGATCAAGTACGGAAGTAAGAGGGCAAATATCTCCGTACGCCTGCACCTATCGAGTTCAATGTCAACACATTGTGTCTGGAGGCTTCTGTGTCAACCTTCCCATTGGAGTTTTCTACCCCTTTTCGTAGGTATCAGTCGAGCCCGAGGCTCGATGACATGCATCTACGAAAATTATTCACTTTAACAAGCGCAGATGCTTCCGGGTCTTTTTAGGTGTATCATGAAGTCACTTTGTGGGCGCATGTAACAAATACTTCAGCGGAAAAAACAACAACAAACAATCCATGCAAAAGTGTTGGCAGACAAGTTGTTTTTTCCGTTTTACTGAAATGATTCTTTTTGCGTCTAGAATTTCAGTTCTTATTTGATCATATTAGGCTTAGGCGGACGTAAACTCATTGAGCCATCTTTCAATCCAGGAAACTTCATGTTTTTAAAATTTAGCGTCCTATTACTGCCGCTTTAGTGTCGCATTCACACTAAGCTTCAGCTTTCTTCAGCGCGTAGTTTATTTACGCTCGAACCAAAAAACACCTTTTACAACGCAGCTCAGGCGCCCGTTTCCTGGTTGAGCGGCGTCGGCGTCGGCGTCGGCGTAACCGCGCGTGGCATTATTGGACGCTTTCCCACTAAAGTTAGCGGGGAACTTTTTTCGCTAAACTTGGCGGGGAAAGTTTTTCGCAAAATTTAGAGGGGAAATGAAATGTTCAAATACCTTCCCCTCCGTACCCTTCCCTCCTCCCCTTCTTCAAGAGCTGCGCTCTGATTCCGCATTAAAGAAAGTTGTAAACGCCGTTCATTTTTTTTTTGTCGTCTCCCAAATACTTGGTATATCTATGTGTAAAATTATTCACCCTATTAGCTGGACGGAGGAGAAGGCCACCAGTATTTGGATCGCTGCCTCCTGCGCTCTTATATTTTCCACTTAGTTTTCGTAAGTACTAGCCACCCCCTGCAAACCACTGCCCCCTCAGAGGCTCATGGCCGCCCACTGGTTCCTTGAAACCTGCAGCTTGGAGCCCGGAGGCGTTCGGATCCTACAACCTTAAAGGGTGTCTCACTTAGACAAGCTAAACTTACTGACGATCCTCCTCCTGAATTCCATAAAAAGGATGTCTCTGTCTCGGATACTCCGCGTTTTTTCCTCATCCCTGCAAAAAGCCGAAAAGAAAAAGAATAGGGAGTCGATGAAAGCATCTCCTCAAAATGTGCCATCATCGCCGACGTTCGCGACGATGGTGAGATAAGAGATGACCCGCCTGACAATGAAGATAGTTTTATCCTCGTGGAGCATCGCCGCGAGAGGAGCACTGGAGTACCAGTACACCGAATCCCGAAGGATGAGACTTTCCGCCTACAGCAGCAGAAGCCTTTGCGCCTAAGCAGTGCGGTCAATGAAACTGCAAGGGGAAAGATATTGCCCCATCATTTCACAGTACGTGGAGAACTTTGCATTAAAATTGCCGAAGAGGACGCCGCCCATTGACTGCAGAGAATAAAAACGTTCTGCGGTGTCGAAGTTCCTCCCAAGCGTCTGTGTTCACCATTTACCTTCAAAATTACGGACTCACCACGGCCGTTCGCCGGCGGCACTCCGACACCCAGTTGTTGGATTACCTTGTACCAGTGGGAGTCATCGCTGTCCAACGTCTCTTTCAGAGACATGGTCAATTTGGATCCCCAGTTACACCGACAGATAAGGTTTTCCTAACATTTCGTCTGAACACCGAGAAAGCAACCCAAACAGATAAGGGCTTTACAAGGCACAACATAACTGGACGGGGGGGGGGGGGGGGGCACCACCACGGTACTTCGAGTACCAAGTCATAGGCCACGTTGCGAAATACTGCGAAGGAGAAATCAAGTGCAAAAAATATGAAGATCAACACCATATAACAACTTGCTCAAAAGAGACCAACGCCAAATGCGCCAACTGCGGGGTTTCACACCTAGCACACTACGTAAACTGCAAAGGACTCTCAGCACTATCACGTTCAAATGCATTCCTTTGAGGTTCAATACCATGAAAAGATGCGGCACAGTTCACAGCAGCTCCAGGAGACTTTTTGAACCGCCCGTAATTTTAGATAAAGATGCCTCATCTCAGGAACCGCTCTGGGTACCGCCATCGCCAGTGCCCGCGAAGCCAAGGAAGAAGAGGAAAGAAAGAAGGTGAAAGAATTCTGTGTCCCGGTTCTTTGCTTCCGCTTTATCAGATGAGATTCCTAGTTTGAATGGCCAACAAGCTGGATCATCACAGCAAAATCCGACACCGGGTGGCCCGCGGAGCTTAGGCAGTGGTTTGGCGAGTAATCCAGCTCATAAATCAAAGACGCGGAAATATATTCCAACTCGTCCACCCCTTCTATGACAAAGTGATACCCCTGACAGTTCTAAGGACACAATTGTAAGGATTGTCTTTACAACTATTAGACAAACCATGAAAAGTCTGCGAGAAGTCAAAGTTGCCCTTAAAGGCATATTGTGCTTAAAAGCCCTTATTGAGTTATAATCAGGAAAACGGCTTCCATCAAGGTTAAAAAACAGAAATCCACCGACAGTGTATCAAGGCAACAAAGATCATATTGTACCCCGGATCCTACAATAGAGCTGCAGGGGACTGCAAGCAAAAAGTTCTGAATTATCTTTATATCTAAAGCGCGTTCCCATCCCAATATTGGCCCTCTCAGAGGAAGGGCTTCCAGATAGCCGTTCAGTATCAGGATACGAGGTCTACTGAAATTCTTCAATATCAAAATTTTCTAATGGATGTTCGGCATTGTGTATTAGCCAAGAATTACACAGTGCTAAATTGCAACTAACTCTTTGAATACTGCTGATGCTGAATTCGTTGCTGTAAAGCCGGGGTGTCCCTGCCTATGCATCATACAAAAGACAGTCTGCATACAGACTCGAACGCGTGTCACCGGGAGATCCCTGCTTCGAATGCCGCATTTAATGAGTTTAAGAAAACTTGGCACGTGGCATTCGAACCACCACGAATACTGCGGTGATTCTTGTCTGCAGACTTCCTTTCGTATGATGTATGAGCAGTGTGACCACGGCTTAAGATTATCGTTTAAAAAAATCCTCCATTACAGTTATATCTATTTACATCAGACCGGGCAGAGACTATGGCATGATGGATGCTTTTCTATATTGGTGCAAGCGGCGTAAAGTTGGTTCGATAGTGTGCTGTGATTTTGACGCACACAATACGCTTTGGGAGGCGAACCAATTAATAGCCGACGTCGACGGCTTGAACAGATATTTTTGGCAAGTGAACTCTCTGTAGCCAGCACACGTGGCCAACTTTCTACAGGCGACCCGCTACCTTTTCTACTCTACAGTTAAGAGTTCATAATCCTACCCTTAAGCTTTCTTGGAAAATTGCCCCAGACACCATGAACAGTGCTCATTTTCCCATTCGCATAGGTTTTCCAGGATGCCGCAAGTCAGACATGAAATCATATTGAGTCACTATATGGGACGGCTTTCCCAGTTCCATCAGTAAATCTACAGCTCCCATTATTACAACCATACTTTGCGCCACGGTGCAAAGCACGAAAGTCTTTGCCCAAACACTTTCTTTCTGATTTAAAATTGCTGAACCTTATTGCGGCTCGTCTAAGAACTCAACGTCGTCTGAGGCGTCACCCATGTCCGTCCCGTCGTATTGAATTTAATCGTATCTCCACTACACTTAAAAAATATGCCCATCACGTACTGCGGTCAAAGTGGTGTACTTCTATGAAGAATGTAATACACACACAGGCGCACCTGGAAGCAAACCTTGAAAGGTTATTTGATCCCTCACTTGAGATAAACGTCCCCTTCGGCATTTCGAGGCTCTCACACTCGCTCAGACTAATTAATTAAAATAACTCGCGGAAGATTTTGCTTACACGTACCAGGGCGAACGTACCATATTACCTGTACCATTCCCCCCAAATACATCCAGCAATGACATGAACAATGCCTTCAAGTAGGAGAACTGACAGCAGCATTACACCCAAGTCGACGACACAGTGCTGCGAGACGAGGCGGCATACCCTACCAGGCTCTTCAGAATCTGCCAATTGGAGGTTTTACTGCATTGTTACAATTTTTTAACTTCATCTGGAATAGTGGCAAGCCCCAGAAGTGTGAAAATTCTACATCATCATACCAATTCTGAAGCCTGGGAATTCATCATATGACCCATGTTCATATAAACCCATGCTCTTGACCTCATGAGTCGCAAAATCAATAAAACCCATGATCCAGAACAGCGTAACATGGAAGAAATATAATTTTCAACCTAAGAAGATTACGGGTTTCTTTCAGGCTCTGCTGCGACAGATAATATTCTTGACTAAGTTTGCAGCGTAGATGATGCTAGAGTTCAGCGGAAAACCACACTTGCAACAATTTCTAACGTGAAGAAAGGTTTTGACGCTGAAAATATTGCAGATATCCTACAGTGGCTTAGGACTGAAGGCATTACGGGCTGCATTCGAAAATCTTTGGCCAATTTGTTGTTCGGCGACAGTTTCAGGTTCGTCTTGGAAATACACTCGGCAATATCCATCGAAAACATAGAGGCCTTCTCCAAGCTTCCATACTAATCCCCGCACTATATTCAACATCGCAACGAGTGGACTGCCAAACGCAATAACACCTGAACCGCTAGCGATCTACGTTTCCATCTACGCGGACGGCGTCTCACTATGGGCCAGCCATTTGAAACGCAATGTGCTTTGTTGATCATTGCAGCCGGCTGTGACGTGTATTCAACTGCATCTGTCTACAGTCAAACTACAAATTTCGGTGAGCAAGACAACCTACGTGTTCTTTTTATAGGTTCAAAGCCGATCATGCCCAGATATT